GCTACCGCAAGCATCAGCTTCTATAATGGATGCGGATGATGGGCAAGGGGCGAATGGAAATAATCGACGTTCGGGATTTGCGAAAAACTCCTGGCAACCAGACGCGCTTTGAACTTTTCTATCTTCCCTTCCTTGTTGGTCTTCCAACTAAAACACCACTTTGAGCTCACAGGCCTGCGCCCCTCTGGCGCACCGTCTACGAATGAAAACGTCCCCGTGCCCAAGTGCCCTTCAAACTCTTCCCTCATGGCCTGTTCCCACCCCTCTCGGTCTACACAGACTTGGCAACGCCCGCTAAGGTCATGGGGGGGGTCTACATCACTCGGACGCTTGCCTATGGGGGATTCACTTAGCTCGTGGGACGCCAGAGCCGTCTCGAAGGCGTCTGGCGAGTTGAGCATGAGGTCCACCGTACCCAGCAGGAAATCCTCCGCCTCTTGGCGCGCAGCGTGGGCCTCCTGCGCGCGCTCGGACAGCAACTCTCGCACCACCCTCGCCTCTAGCCCCTCCGCCACGTGAAGTACTGCCGAGAGCATCCAGCGGGTGAACTCCTCCGTGCTGCTGTCGGGCAGGCTCGCCACCGAGGCGAGCAGGGCTTCGGCACTTGTCGGCGACGGGGCCGATGTGGGCGGCGACGGGGGCGACTCGTACCTCGGATTTCGGCGAGGGTTCTCCCTAGTGCGGCGGCTGGTGAGTTCCGCCGGCTTGTCGAAGCTGGCGAGCCGCCGGGCCTCTGGCCCGCGGAGCGCCGGGAGATCAGTCTCGCTGTCGCTGTCGCTGTCGCTGCCGCTGCCGCTGCTGCTGCCCCTGTTGCTGCCGCTGCCACCGCTACCACGGCTGCTGCTGCTGCAGCGGTCGTCCTCGCCGCCGCCCACATCGGCCATGCCGGCCAACTTGGTAGATGGGGCGACGCTCGCGTCCTCCCTGCTCGAGCGGGCGCCATTGCCAGCGTCGCCCGCGCCCGACTCCTGGGGCGCGGGCGGCCCCGCGGGCCTCGGGGCTGCCGTCGTGCCAAGGTTGAAACCTGGTCCGCCATCCAAAGGTTCTCCCTCCGCCCTCCCTCCACCTTGGCTCGACGCGCCCTCCCCAACCTCGTCCTCCTCAGTCGCGAATTCCTCTTCCTCCTCTGCGATGGGAGGCAGCGACTGGGGCAGGGCGGTGGGGGCAGCGGGTACGGATTGCCAGGTGAAGTTGCGAGTTGTGATCGCTTGGCGTTTTTCGTTCAGGATGCGCACGCAATCACGGTTGGTGTTGATTCCCGGGCCGAGGTAAAAACACTTTTGGCTTTTCGGCTCGGACATGTGCGTGCGCTTGACCTTGTATACGGCAGGTTTGAGGAACGGGTACGTCGCCACCGGTGGAGGAGGGTGCCCGTGCCACATCTCGTACGGCGATTTCTTCTCTGGGTTGGATGTGGTGGAGGTGCAGTTCGGGGCGTTGCATGCCCAAGCTATGGCCTCGGCCCAAAGGGAGGGGTAGGTCGGTGCTCCGGGGTAAAGAGTTGGCGCTTGGATACGGGCGGCTAGTGCTGCATCCTTGATCAGACCCCAACGTTTCTCAGCCACACCGTTGTATTCTGGGCTGTGTGCGGGGTCGAACTCCTGTTTGATGCAGTGATTCCGGCACACCCCGCCGACCTCTCCCTCAAAAAACTTTCCTCCGTTGTCAGATCTCACGACCATGACATCGGACAGGGCACCGTCTGCCCGGTTTTCTGCAAGGTACCTCTTGAATGCCTCAGCTGCGTCTGATTTGTCCTTCAGAAAATAGACACGGTTCCACCTTGTGTAATCATCCTTGACAATGAAAGTGTACCACTTCCCCCCCAAGCTCTGCCCCCTAGCTTTTCCACTCAAATCCACGAAAACTAGCTGCAGTTTCTTGGCTGCTCCGGTCGACGTCTTGTTGGGGATGGGCTTGGAAAGTCCCTTCGCCGTCGAGGACCCCAGGCACTCCCGGAGCTCGCCCACCAGCGTNCTGCCCGGTTTTCTGCAAGGTACCTCTTGAATGCCTCAGCTGCGTCTGATTTGTCCTTCAGAAAATAGACACGGTTCCACCTTGTGTAATCATCCTTGACAATGAGAGTGTACCACTTTCCCCCCAAGCTCTGCACCCTAGCTTTTCCACTCAAATCCACGAAAACTCGCTGCAGTTTCTTAACTGCTCGGGTCGACGTTTTGTTGGGGATGGGCTTGGAAAGCCCCTTCGCCGTCGAGCACCCCAGGCACTCCCGGAGCTCGCCCACCAGCGTCGTCCCTTGCTGCTTCGCCGTGGTCCTCAGCAGCACCTCGTGGGAGTGGCCGTGCGCGCAGTGGAAATCGTTGATGTCAACCGGGGCGCTGAACGCTTTCGCGTTGCCAGGAGCAATTGCGGCATAGGCATGTTCGGTGTGTGTGCGGAAACCGTTTTGGACGTACAGGTTACCGCATCGGGGGAAGTACACCGACTCCCCCCCCGCTCTCTCCAATTCCAACTCGTGTTTGTTGAGGGTTTTGGTTTCGAACCCATCGTCGAAGAGGGATGTGAGAGCTACTAGGTTGTAACCTAGTCGGGGGAGCGTGTGCAACCCGTTTCAACAACAGGTCGGTTGTACCGTCGCGCAAGCTAAGGGTTACCGTCACGTCGCCATACCCTACGATGGGGAAAAACGTTTCTCCGGCGGCCTTCGCGCACACATCGATCACACTCTTCGTAACGAACGAACCCATCTGAGTTCGCGAACATGAGGGTGGTAGCGCCGGTATCGGCAACATACCTATCCCGCCTAGCCTGCTCTACACCCCCTCGACCAACGACTTTGTGACACTCGCCTGAGATGCCACCGACCACCAGCGCCTCTTCTGCCACGTCCAGTGCTGTGGCGTTCGCAGACGCCCCCCCCGCCGGCACTTCCACCACGAGTACCACCCCCTCGGTCGGGCACTTGCTCTTGTCGTGGCCGTAGCCCTTGCATGTCTCACATCGCACAGGCTTGCTCTCGGTGAAGTCGGCCACCTGGTAGCCCTTCTTGCCGCACCGGAAACAGCGACCGCGCATGCTACCCGCATCGTCGTCGCCGCCTCCGCCGCCGTCACCAGCCTTCGCCACCCCCCCTCCCCTTCTGGTTGCCGCCGCCGCCGCCGCCGCCGCCACCCTTGCGGCGGCCGCTGTGCCGCGGCCCGGCGCTCCTCCCCCGCCGCCACTGTCACTCGCGAGGAGAGCATGCTCCGCCCTACGCTGGCCCTTCGAGGCCTTCCTTCCCTCCGGGAGGCTCGCGTGCACCGTGCTCACGATTCTGACGATCTCGGCCCTATCCAGCGCCGTTGCTGTCTCCAACAGGAACTTCGCTTGTTGGTACTCGGGTGAGGGGGAACCAACAAAGTGGGCGAGAACGAAGGGTTGTTCAGCGTTGAGCCTTTTTTCGCGTAGGCGTGAGTACAGCAGCTCGAGCGAGTATAGGTGCTCGATGGGGTTGCTGTTGCTGTGTGTGGGGATTGCAAAGTCGAACATCTTCCGCATCAAGGCCTGTTTTGACCCCTGTGANGAGAACGAAGGGTTGTTCAGCGTTGAGCCTTTTTTCGCGTAGGCGTGAGTACAGCAGCTCGAGCGAGTATAGGTGCTCGATGGGGTTTCTGCTGCTGTGTGTGGGGAAGTTGAACATTTGCTTCATGAGGGCTTGTTTCGAGCCCCACGACTTCGGATCGTAGACTTTGTCGAGTTCCGCGAGGATCTCTTTTGCGGTCTCGCATTTGTTCACGATCGCCTTGTCGGCTTCTCTGACAATGGCAGTGGTCACAAAATGGAACGCTTGGAGGCCCCTCTGGACCTCGTCGCTGGTGTATTAGAGGCGGTACAGCTCCGAGGTTGGCACGTTTGGGTTGCCGACAGGTGCATGTCTCTCGTTGTTGCTGATCAATTGGCCGTCCAGTCCTACAGTCTTGGCCGCTTGGATAAGCGACTTTCTCCACGAGCCATACCCATGGACGCGACTCTCCCCTTCGAGACGCGGGGCATTGACCGTTACTCTCTTCATGTGGCTACTGCTGCAGCCGTCGAGGAATTCTCCATTTCCTCGAATCACGGGTATCTCAGCTAGGGGGTTGAACCCCCTCGCTTCCCCGTTGTACGGTTCTATGCCCGGGCCCACTCCGGCTGGTCTCGCAGGATTCGCTCCCGATCTGCTGGCCCAGCCGCCTTCCAGCAGCGACCGTGGTCCTTGCCCACTATCTCTCGTTTGCTGCTGGAGAAATCCCCCGCCACCGCCGAGCGGCAGCGTGGGCTCTTCTCGTTGGCCTCTGGGGGCAGCAACCCAGCCGCCCCTACTGGCTGCATCCGCCACGACGCTGCCAGGCTCCTTCTTCTTCACCGACTCCTCCACCAGGGCCGCCAATTGCGAAATCTGCAGTTGCAAACTTGCAAGCTCCGCATCGCGGGCCTCCTGCACCGGCGGGCGACCTCCTGCACCGGCGGGCGGACCTGTTCTCTGGTCGCAGCAGTGCGCTCTTCGCCTCCAGCAGAGCTCATCCCAATGTAGCTTCCCTCGAGGGGCAAAAACCTGTAGAGTGTTTGCGGCCTACGCCACATATTTATCGGGTGAGACTGTTTTGGTGATGTATTAACTTCACGGGAGGTAGA